CCCTCAATACCTGCTTCCTGCAAGTTTCATTAAAAAAAAAAGTGTTTCCTGAGATGTTTTAGAAGCAGAGAGAAACGTGCAAAAACATTAACTTTCCTCCTTTTTAATGATTTTTGTGCAATAAGTATCTCGGGAGTAATTGTTCATGTGAACCTGGGATCTGGGTTTTTCACTTCGGTTATAATTCTCCCTGTTCGGGGCCCCTGGTGGCCCTCTCTCTCCCCATCACCTCTTCGGTCAGCACCCTCCTGGCCTTCCGCAGTGTGTCCGGTAGAGTTTGCTGTGGTACAGGCCTTCTCTCTCTCTCTCTCTCTCTCCCTCCCCGTCTGTGTGTCAACTCCGTGTCGGGTCACGTTATGTTGGAGCTGGGGTTGCTGGTGAGACTCGCTGCGCTCCTTTTCCGACCAGCCTGTACCTGCCTCCACTTCCAGTAAAACCTCACTCAGAGTTTACGGGAAAGGCGAACGAGCGGAAGCGAACCGGGCTGGAAATCCTGTATTTAGAAAAAAAAAAAAAGAAACCAACCCCGGTGTCGAGAGGCGCTGCGTCGGACAGACGGCTGTAATCTGAACCGGAGGATCTGGAGCTTCACCGCGGGCTGGATGACAAGCTGCTCCTCKGCTTTATTCTAGGTGCACCGGAGTCTGCCCACGACATGGGAAATAAATAGTTGGTAACGTCGGCTCTGTTCTGTATAAACATACCGTGTGTGTCTCAGTAGGCTGCTTTCATGTTTAATGTTTAATTAACAGCAGAGGAGAGTGTGTACGTGTATATATGTTTGTGTGTGTGTGTGTGTGTGTGTGTGTGTGTGTGTGTGTGTGTGTGTGTGTGTGTGTGTGTGTGTGTGTGTGTGTGTGTGTGTGTGTGTGTCAGCCTTAGAGGAAGAGTCAATTTTTCTGTTGCAAGTTGTCACTCGCTTTCAAAACGGCACAGCGTGTTTTGTCTTGTTCTCTAAATATTTAAGCCAACCATTAGGCTTTTCATTATAATTAATGTGACTACTTTCACTATCACATCCTAATTTTTTTTTTAAAAAAAGTATACAATTTAATAACAGCTTTAAGATTTTGTTCATTTACAAAAGGTTTTCCTGAACTATGTCACATAATAGTTTGAAGGGAGTGTACGCTGGTAGTTTACAGAGGCATTTCTGAAATGCAGGTACGCACTCAATGTAAACAAAGCCCTTTCATCGGGCCTATCCGACAAATCTGGGCRTAAACATGTACTAATCTGTCAGAATTGTTTGCCTTTTCCTCTCCGAAGGACGCTTCTGTGAATGCATTTCTGACCCATTTTGCAGTCACTTTTTCAACTGTTATCCAGTAATTACCATTTTCCTTACAGAAAATTCACTGTAAAACTAACAGTGGTAATAACTGCTGCTGTTACCTAGTAGATAGAGGGGAAAAAAAGAGATGAAAACAGCTGAAGTTTTAAAATGAGCACTATGGTACTGAGGAAACACATGACCAAAAAATAAATATGTTATTTTATACATATTCTGACTCGCAGCAGCATAATGTTTTCTTAAAATGCATTGTATTTACTGTAAGRTTATGATGACAGCTTRTACACTGTAGTTCTGTTGTGAATAYAGTAATTTAGCTGTGAAAACTAACTTACAGGACACTGATTTAACAGTAAAGAACTGTTAACTCCAAAAATGATTTACAGTGTATAAACAAAGTGGTAATTGGCTGCTGGTCACAAATTTTTTGCTTAAAAATGTTGAATTTAGGGTCACAATAACCACTGGTGTGAGACTTTTGTGCAGACTTTGTTTCTTATTTTTTAATGAATRCCTTTCAAAACAGGCTTATATTAAAAAATATTATAATGTGAAGAGATTCAAACAAGCTTTTATGTTTGAGTTTCAAAAAAGGAAAAATGAAAGAGAGTTTTATGTTTCTAAATTTTGGGAGAATTAATGTTCTTAATTTCAAAGGAACACCTAGAAGTTGTCATCCGTCAGAAGAATTGGCACAATTTTTTTTATTTATTAATTTTTTTGGAGGTTTACCATGAATCCTTCAGTATATGTTCTCTGCTGAAGCTTGCAGTGGTTATAATAACATTAACCACATATTATTTTTATTCACTAGCTAGTAATAGACCTTCATACACCCCCAAAATTAAAGTCGTTACTGCAGAACGTTATATTATTATTACCAGTCCCACAATTGTTGGTGAAAAAAAATTCATATGGGCAGACCAACCAAATATAAACTTTTGTTAAAAGAAAAGAAACATTTTGCTTCCTCGCGAAACTCAATGAGCTTTTGTTGGAGCAGAAGTTGGTGATAATGCTTGGCTAACTCTCAAATAAGGAATGAGGAAGTAAGGAACCGAGTGACAAATGGAATTCTGGGTACTTGTCCTATTTATGATCAACRCAGGTTCGGATTATTCCAACCTTCTAGCCAATAATTGATTTATTTATTTTATTTTTTTCTTGGTGGGGGTTGATTGGAACCCATATGAGTCAGAGAAACATACTTTTGAGACCAGCACGTTAACATTAACTGCCTTCAGGACTGACTCATCGTTCTCTGTCATTTTCAGATGTAAGCACAGTAACCTGTTTCACAACGTGTTGCACGTTCAGAAACTAAACCTTATGATTGCTCCTCTCTGTAGCCGTGCACCCTCAGTTTGTCTGAAGCCATGGATGCAAGCTGGAAAAACTGCTTCGAAGAGGAGCTCCTCTGCCCCATCTGTCTGAATGTCTTCGACGAGCCGATCCAGCTGCCGTGCAAGCACAACTTCTGCAGAGGCTGCATCTCTGAGGCCTGGGCCAAAGAGACGGCGGCGGTCCGCTGCCCCGAGTGCAACCACGACTACAACCCGAAACCCGCGCTGGAGAAGAACTTCAAGCTCGCCAGCATCGTGAAGCGCTTCAACGCGTTGAACGTGGAGAAAGTCCCCGCCGCGCTGCACTGTGTGCTCTGCAGACGGGGCCCCCCGCTGCCCGTGAGGAAAGTGTGTCTGCGCTGCAAGGAGCCCTGCTGCCAGACCCACGTCCAGACCCATCTCCAGCAGCCGTGCGCCGCGCCGGGACACCTGCTGGTCGACATCGAGGAGCTGAGCGCCTGGACCTGTCCCAGCCACGAGGAGTACAGGCTGCTGCACTGCGAGGAGGAGCAGGTGGCTCTGTGTGCGTTCTGCTGCATCTCCCACTGCACCAACCAGAGACACACAGTGTGTGCCGTGGACCAGCAGCGAGTTCAAGTGCAGGTACAAACCTCACACCTGCACCACCACAGCTGTTGCCTTTAAAGCAGAGGTGGCCAAACATTTTGTCACATGGGCCAAAATTATAAAGTCAGAAAGACTTGAGGGCCAAAAATGTTTTTCCTTTATCTGCTCAACAATAAACTAAGCACTGAATACTTTAATTAAACAAATGAATTAGTCAGATTTATGGCTGGAAATGGATGCATAAAATTAATCTAGATCCAGAACTTTAAAAGTGTTTTGCAGGATTTCCCTTATTGAAAGAAATTTTGCAATTTTCTAGGTTTCAATCGGGGGGAAAATAACCCAATTTTGTCAATTCTGATCAATAAAATCAGGATTTAGGTCACTCTTTTGTTGAAAATGCTTGTTGTATTCAGACAAATTTTATAAATTAATTAAAAGCAGATTGGAGTGCAGCAAAATCAGCTTTTCTGTAGAAGTCACTAAAGCCAAGAGCCTGGTTATTTAAAGACAAATAATTGGTATTGTTGCCAATATTTGTCATTGRAAGAAGATTTTACTTTGTCTGTGATTATTTTGTCCTAATAAAAAATAGAAAGTCAACATCAAACACCTGTGTCGGGGGTGGGGGGGACAAATTAGTACAATTCTTGAACTGACGTCAGGGGCCACACAAAATCAGTTCAGGGGCCACAAATGGCCCCCGGGCCACACTTTGGACACCCCTGCTTTAAAGTTTAGAATCATGAGTGGATCAAAAATGCAGCATCTACTGTCATGCACTTCAGATTCAAAACTGAAAGGAAAATAAMCTTGCTAAAAAGAAAAAAAAGAGATGCACTCTGGGTATTTCTTAGAATTTCAAAGCAGCAGAAATTTCTTTCACTTCAGTAGTCTTTAAAGATACCCCATCTTCTGTTTCTCTTTCAATCTGGTCTGATAAGATGGGAGCGGACAGGGCGAAAGTTGTCCCATTTTAGTTGGATGAAAGTGTAACCAACACACATAAACATGCCTATGTCATGCGCAGCTTTTAACCTTGATCACGCCGCCCACTTGAGACAGCCACGCCTTTCCATTAGCAGTGCTGTGCCCTCGGGTAAGTGCAGTCATGCAGTCTGCATCCACCGGAAGCGATGACCCCTGTGCTGCGGGGGYGGATCCACGTGTGGTTTATTTTAGTCTCATACTGTAAATGAGGGATGTTTTTGTTCATTAAAATGTGTTCGAAAATCTATGAGGCACCAAGTGTAAAAACAAAACATTAAAAAATGTCACTAACACATATTCATTATCTAGCTCACTGTTCTTACATTTTTTTTTTTCATTTTTAATAAATGCTAAATTTAAACGTTGAAAAATATATGTAAATCTTAAATCCGAAATCTAAAAGTAAAATTTAAATTTTAAATGTTGAAGTTGACATTTAAGCGTTTTGGAATAGTATGCAGCCTTTGGTGCTAGGCTTTTGTTATGATGTCATCATCCTGAGACAAACACAACGGCTAATGCTGCAATGCGGCTAATGCTTCCCTACAGGACAAGCGGTTGAGGTTAGCTAATGCCGGGTTCACACGGCTGGATAATCGTGCCGATTTTTGGCCTTCCGACAATCTGAAGGACATCAGATTATCTTGATGACTCTAAAGATAATTTTAGCAGATCTTCTTGCCGTGTGTGGTGAGTTAGGAGTAGGGGTGTAACAATACATCGATCTATTTCGATATATCAATTTGAACGTTCATGATTCAGTTATATCGAGGCAAAATGAAAATATCAATCAMTATTGTCATCAAATGCTTAATGTGAATCGATATCATATGCCCATCTAACACAGTCATTGTGTTAGATGGACATATGATATCGCATTATGTCGATCGCAGACATGTGAATTGAATTGAAATCGTATCGTGACAGACTTTGTGATATTGAGAAATATCGAATCATCATCCAAACGTATCAATGTAATATCGTATTGTGATAAAGCTGGTGATTTACACCCCTAGTTAGGAGTGAGCTAGTCGGCTCGGAAGGACGTTGGGACCCCTCCAATCTCAAATCGGCGTTCTTCAACATGTTGGATTTTTTTKGCCCAATATCCCAACGTGTGTGGCGTCTACAAACAAGCTCGCAACCCGTTGAATGTGATGTGTAGCCAATCAGAAAGCGAGGTAATGTAAACACGCAGGAGATTCCAAAATACATAAGAATAAAACACCGTCATGACTCACCAGGAAGTCTGCTGGACATTGTAGACATAATTTTGAATTGTTTTTCTTCTGTTAAAATTATCCACAAACAATCAACATTGCTTCTTTTATCGTCTCAAATGTTTAGTTACTCAGAGCTCACGTCCGAGCTCTGGAGGTCATGCCAGATTTTTCCTCTGAAATCTGAATTCTCGTGAGATTTCAAGAAGTCTYGCGTGTTTTCACATCTGACACCCAAATGTTCATGAATGAAATTTGTCCATGTGTGGTGTGTTGTCTCTTATGGAAGAGTATTGCATTCAACAAATTAAAGAAATTTGACTCCTGATCTCATAATTACGAGATCAAGATCTCATGAGATATTATCTCATAATTACGAGAAAAGATCTCATAATTATAAGATAAGATATCATAATTACGAAATCAGGATCTCATAGTTATGAGATCAGGAGTCAAATTTTATTTATTTGGTGAATGCAATGCTCTTCCATAGTCTCTTGCCATGTGGCTGTACACCACACACTGTTGGACCAAATCTTGTATATCCATGTTTTTTTATCCTCACATTTTGAAAATTGGCCAACAATTTTAAAACCTTGCTGTGTGACCCAGCCCTAACCAGGATGATGTCATCATCCTGAGACAAACACAACCGTTAACGCTCCAGCGCGTGTAATGCTTCTCTACAAGACAAGTGCTTAGCTAACCAAGATGATGTCGTCGTCCTACAACCAACATCAATGCTAGCTGCTGCTAACACTTCCAACACTACTAAAGGTGGTATTTAAAATTAAAATTCAAAATGTGTTCATTGAAAACAATATGGATGCTGCCTATGGTTTGGCAGTTTGAAGTGTAGCTCAGACACCAGCCGCCACTGCAGATTTGATATCTTGTAGGGAAGCTTTAGCTGTCTTCTAGCGTTAGCGGTTGCTATTGTCTCAGGATGACGACATCCTAACAAGAACSAAGCACCAACAGCAAAGGATGTGTTTCATTCCAAAATACTTAAATGTAAACTTTAAGATTTAACTTTAACATTTAGGTTTACATATTTAGATTCAGGATTTAATATTTGCACAGATTTTTTTTTTACATTAAAGCGGCAATATCATGTTAAATCAACTTTTTTGAGTTTTATATCATGTTATAATGTTACTCTCATAAAAACATGCCCAAAGCCTTGCTT